CTCCTCCTGCACTCAGTGTCCTCCTCCTCCTCCTCCTCCTCCTGCACTCAGTGTCCTCCTCCTGCACTCAGTGTCCTCCTCCTCCTCCTCCTCCTGCACTCAGTGTCCTCCTCCTCCATACTTTCTCCTCCTGCACTCACGGTGCTTCTGCTGTGCCATTCCTGGGACTAGATCTTCCTCAACAAGGCTTTCCAAGGGGCTGACACACAGTCATCTCTTTTTGGTTCCTGAGCCTTTTGTTCCAAAGCCTGCCCCTACTAGGGTACTGATAAACTTTAGGGGTATTTTCAGTGCATACCATTCTCCCAGGGGACAGAGTGGTACTGAGTGTGGGGGTCTTCTGACACAATGGCAGGAGGGTGGAGGCCCCTGCTTCTGCCTCCTTCCCATCTGCTCTGTGGTGCTGAGAGCTTGCTCCCTCCTTTGCTCTAGTCCTAAAACAGCAGTGCATGTGGAGCCAGACCTGCTTCCAGAAGAGGCCTCGGTTGGGACCGGCCACCAGCACTGCAGCAGCTCCTCCGCAGACACGGCAGAGAGCCAGCCAGGGAGCTCTTCTCCAACCTTAGCTGAGAGGACTGGGACTTTCCCAGGCAACAGCCCCTTCCCAGAGCTCCCAGGGGTCAGTGGCTGCCTCAGCAACAGTGACCATGAAGCAGGTCCAGGGACTTTCGAGGACACTTTCAGTACTTTCCTATATTGGCGAACTCCTCTGCCTGACATAAGCAAAGAAATGGAGGTGCTTCTGAGTGGGACTGGGCCCTTGGAAGAGAGCCACAGTGGACCTGAGGCTGCGTGTGACAGCTGTGTGGCCAGGAGCAAGATCCAGAAAGTCCTACAGAGTCTGCAGGGGCATTTGCTGCAGGACCCAGACATTCAAGGTGAAGACAGGATGTCTGTGTGTTGTGAATGGCACAGGACTGCTTCCTTCCCCCCAGGCCTGTGTGCTGCTATGTCTGTCGGTATAATCTCTTAACTATCCTCACTCAGGGCCATGCCTAGTTCAGTCTGATATTTCCAAGCAGGAACTGTGTGAAGAGGGTTTCCAGACAGTGTGTGCACAGCCTGGAGGGAACCCTGACAGAACAGGGGACAGTGCTTGGGCATACCTATGGTTACGGAAGGCTTATTAGCTCCAGGGACAGTGATGTCATTTCCCACAGTATGTGCCCTCTCTGGGCACAAACAGCCCAGGGAGGCCCTACTTTTGGAACCCACTGACTCAGGCCTTCATTAAGTCTTAAGGTTTCTGTCTTAGGCAGCCAGGGAAAGTACAACTTTTTTGAGGTGTTTTTTATGTCATGATGTGGGGTCTTGGAGCCAGTCTCCTAATCCATGCCCGCTGTCGTGCATGCTCCAGTTAGTCCTCAGCCAATCAGCAGACTTGTGTTTGTCCCGAGTCAGAGAAACTGGGAAAGCAAGACTTGATGCCATTACTGGGCAAAGATCTGTGATGCTTTGGGGAAAGGACATGTGAAGGTTCAGATTGCCCCATGATTAGTCTTTGTCCCTGAGACTATAAGTAAAGGAGCCCAGTGGTTGCTCAAGGGACAAACAAGCATTCCCTGCCTGACTGCTACAGGCAAAGGGTTGGGCATGGACGAGCACATTCCTGTAACTGCTCTGACACTCCCCTCTCCCCCATAACAAGAGCTGCTGGGGCTGGCCAGCAGTGACTCTTGAAGTCATCTTTCAGAGGGGGTTGTATAGGCAGCTCTGCCTAGGGTGTAGTGAGGACTGACAGAGAGGTGTCCAGAAGCAGCATAGGACAGGAAGCTGGTCATTCCTGGGGGCAGCAAAAATGGAGGGATCCCCACCCTGGAGGTCAAGGGATAGGCTGCAGGGTATTTTTCCTGCTCCTGGAGAGCCATTGTTTGTGGTGTTCTGCACATGTTTACGTAGCTGATTTCTAAGAGAAAGGAGTCCTAGCTTTCCTCAGACCCCAAAGGGGCCAGTACCCCCAGAGATTCGGAAACAAATGACACATTTCATATTCTGGTTCTTGCAGAGGACCTGGTGTGCTGCACCTGGGGGATAAGGCTTATCCCGGCACAGTGGGGGAGCCAACTCCAAGCTCTGAACATTGGAGCATTTGGGTGTGGAGGTAGTGCGTGTGTCCAGTGCTCTGGAGATGAGAATATATCTTTTCATTTAGTTTGTATAGAAAACTGTGTAGGCTCACATAGAGCAGCCACACTAGTGTGAGAATAGACTTAGATGTATGCGCATGCATATGCCTGAGTGGGAGGAAGGCAGCCATCCTGCTTTATAAACGGGTAGTGGGACAACCTTTTGTTGAGGAGGATGGCCTCCCAGCTTCTCCCTGTGTAACCTCATTTTGTTCTTTTGTGAGAGACAATAGAGTTGAACCGATTCTTCCTGACAAATGTGGTTTGAATCCAGATGTGCTCCTCGGTGTGGCTGATGTGGCCAGCATCACACCAGGCTGGGAGCTCCTGTTTAGACTCCAGAGTCTGGTACTAGACAGTCTCCAGTTGTGGAGGAGGTGCACATATGTGCCTCTAGGGAGAATCCCATTTCCAGGCCAAGGCTTGGTGCATACCCCTCAAGTCAGTCCAGGATCCACATTCAATTATTAAAATCTTTTTACAATTTTTTTTGAGACAGGCTCTCACAAAGCCCAAGTTAGTCTGGTACTTGCTTTGTAATAGAGAGTGACTTTGAACTGCTGATCTTTTGCTGCCATCTCCCATGTGCTGGGGTTATGTATAAATAAGCACTGTCACACCCATCTTATGGGGTGCAAGTCATCGAAAACAGGATTTTCTGAATGCTAGGTAAACACTCTACCAACTGAACCACATACCCAGCACCACATAGTTATTAAAATTCTTATACTTCTCTTCTTGTAGCTCAAGTTCAGGTATTATCTGCCGCACTGAGAGCAACACAGCTCGACTCAACTCGTGAACCCAAGAGAAGGCAGACAGAAGGTCTAAACGAAGAGCCCGTTTCAGATCTCAGCCCTGTCTTTGACAATCATATCCTCCTGTCGGCTTCATCATCTCAGAATGAGCTCTCCGTGGCCAGGATATTACAGAGCACAGTAAGTACTTGCCCTGTCCCTCAGCCACCGAGGATGTGACAGAAATCACAAAGCCATGCTTGCTTTTATTAATACATCCCTGCAGAGAAGATAAATGGCAAATTTCATTTCATTCTTAAGGTCATGTTTTGGATAACTAGACAACCAATCAATCAGGTGATTGATCACCCTGAATCCCTTCCTTGGGAACAGGGTGGGCACCAGAAACAACCCCCCCTGGGGGGGATGACAGGCAGTGCTCTTGGGATTAACGGTGTAAATGTCCTGGGTCATTTCTGGCAGTCACTTACATCTTTAATAACAGAAGAGGGTGAATTCTAACTTGACGAAGGCCACAGAAAGTGATGAGTGTGGCTGGCCCCTTGGTTCACAGACATCCTTTAATACCCAGCTGCTTGGTGATGGTCCTTCTCAGAGGGGAGACTTGAAAAAGCCAGCGTCACCTGCTTTCTCCTCTCCTTGTGAGACCAGGGCCCCAAGTGAAACCAGAAGAGTCTGAACTTCCTCCTTGCCTGACTCTCTAGAAGCTTCCTAACCCTCTTGATATTGGGCATCCATGTACCTTCCCGATTCCCCCAGCTTTCACTTGGACCAGTTTAAACTGGGGTCTCTCATTGCCCAGGTCTCGGGTAAGTTGATGCCTTTTCACCACTGTGAATCAGCATGATCAGACTCTGCAAGCCCACAGTCTTCAGGAGCCAAGTGCATACTCTGCTGTTGACAGGACTGAAATTCTGGCTGTAGTTATTAATTTATCATCCCCACCCGAAGCCTGTTCAAATGAGCAACTGGTACAATCTCAATCTCAAGTGTCTAAGTTGTTAAAGGTGCCTTTAGGTTAGTAAGAAATGATGGGATGCCTGTGTTGTTTCTAGAAAATGCCAAGAAAACTGGCCTGTTACCTTTGTTATCTGCCTGTAGAAACCCTAAATATAGGGGAGAAAGGTCTAGTCCATTGTCCCTGGTGGAGTGTTAGTATTGGGGCCTCTTTCTCAGAGGCAGAACTGAAAAACGGCAGCAGAGCACTTTAGCCAGGCTTCCAAGGTATGTGTGAAAAGCTAAGCTGGTGGATCTCAGCTTGACCCTCAGGGGCAAATACTGAGACCACGTGGATTGCAGAGCACCCCTGTTCCACAATGTTCAAGAGAGGCAAAATGGATCATACCTCTGTGCTGTCTGTCCATGTCAGCATAGAGTGCTCAACAGAAGAAGGAAACCCTACCCCAGAAGTCCTCCTGCCTTTGCTCTTCTCCTGGCTCTCCTTGGCCGCAGCTGCAGGGGGTGGGGGTGCAAATGGCAGAGTGGTTGGAAACTCTCCTGAAGAGCTAGGGCTCTCTCATAGGCTCTCCTCAGGGAGATATAGTGCCTCGCACCACTCAGCAAGCCGCCCTGCTCCAGGGCTGTTTGAGCTCACAGGGCCTGCGGTGTTGGGTCAGGATGTATCACTCCACAGTGAGCTCACTCAAGACTTGGACAGGATTCCTTCTAAAGTGCTGAATTTGATACCAGCCATGTCGTCTTAGTGTGTGTTGTTGATTCATGTGAAGAATTGAAGACACCATGCCCAAAAGAGACCTTGAATGCCCTACTAAAATGTTACTGCCATCATGTTTCCTGTTCAGATAGATAGCATGTTTCTCTGTAAACATTGGGCACTAAGGTCCTGGTGGCATGCTCAGAGCAAACATTGCATTTATTGGGGTATTAATTGACTCCCGGATCATATATTGAGCTGATTTGTCAGAATCTATTAGCACAATAGACAGTATGACATTTCAAGTGCAAGTTGAACATCCGTGTTATGGTTGAAGGAGAAGGTCAGGTCCATCTCAGTTAATGTTAATCAATGATCAAAGACTGATATGTCACCATTGAATGTTCCTGCTCATTTTAATTGTTAACCTAATGCACAGGTTCATCAGCAAACATTAGGAGTATTTACACATGTGAGAGTACAGAACAGTTTACTGAGTAAATAGTCCCCTGCTGACCGAACCTTCTCTCTAGGCCACTGCTCCCTCACTGCCATGCCTGCCACCTGCATTGCAGCCTGTCTCCAAGCCAAGACTGCAGGTCCTGCTCTGTCTTTTCTGAAAATCCGTCCTTACCCCTCTTTCTGTAGCTGTCTTAAAGGCTGCTGGTTGACCACACAAAGGAGACCCAGGCCTTAAAAGAGTGGCAGATGCCATCCCACACTGTTGTTCCTCACCGGCTTTAACAGTCAGCATGGCTGCCTGTAAGGCAGCCTTGCAGCTGCAGTGAGGTCCTTCTCCAGAGCACAGGTAGAGACTGGACCGTGTGCAGAGCCTGCCGCTATGCAGAAGTGCACGTTCTGGTGTCAGGAGAAATGCCATGCCCCTCAAAAAATGCACTTGTTGTTTCTGACATGAAGGACGGTTCCTTGGATGGGGGTGGATGAAGACGCTGTCCTCCTTTGGTATCAGTTGGTGACATGTCCCATCAACTCTACAGGATCAAACTGAACCTCAGAATAGAAGCAGTGAGCACCTGGAGACGGAGCAGAGGCAGGAACCTACCGCACTTGAGGAGAATAGATCTAAAGTACAGGTTTGTTTGTTCCTTGAAACAAAAGGAAAGAACAAAAAAAAAAAGTAGCTTAGCCTTTCATCTTCCTTAAGTTTAGCTTTGGAACAGCCACTGAAGCCCAGTGTTTTCCTTCTCTCAGTACTAACTGTTTATCTAGTTAATTACATTGGTAATATTTTCTCTAATAGAATTATGAAGTAGTGTTCAAAGTCTATTAATAAAGCTCAACAAGGGGGAAACAACCTCAGATTAATGTTTTAGACAGTGACTTTTTCTGGTACAAAAATTTTGTAAGCTTCTTTTCTTGGGTGCATTTCTCTTATGGATTGGCCCCTTGTGTCATACAAATATTATGTGCCTTAAATATTCTAAGTCATCGGCACACATTGCTCTTCCAGAGGCAAGCATAAACAGGTGCTGTTTGTACCAGGGAGGCTCTCTTCAGTTGGAAAGGAGAAATAATAACCCCATGGGTAGCCTTGGGCCCAGCTTCCAGGGCTGTTGGCGAGCATGGTCTCCTCACTGGGCTGTGCCATGCACTCTGCTCTCCAGGCTCTGCTCTGTGGCCTAGGTGCCCCTTTGGGGCAGCTGACTCTAGGTACTGCTTTCCCTCTTGTTATCTGTTCTCAGCCCAGGCTGTGAGAGCCTGCACTGCTGTCGCCGGCCCTCCTTGCCAGTGTGATGATTTTCTTTCTCCTGTTTCTCAGGATATAATCCCTCAGCCTCTGCTTGACCAGTTTGTGTCCATGACTGACCCAGCTAGAGCCCAGACCGTGGACACTGACATCGCCAAGCACTGTGCCTACAGCCTCCCTGGGGTGGCCCTGACCCTCGGCCGGCAGAACTGGCACTGCTTGAAGGACACATATGAAACTCTGGCTTCTGATGGTCAGGTAAAGGGTCTGGTCAAGAGGCACAGACAGAAAGAGGGCAGCACCAGAGCAGGAGGCCCTGGAGCTGCAGCACAGCTTGTCACCCTGGCTTTGCTGTGACTGTGAGCCGGCTTGTTTACTGTCCTTTGGGGAAATGCTAGGAACATTGAATTACACCTGCTTGTGCTGATCCGTGTGTCTGCTGTTACCCCTAGTGGAAGGTCCGGCGGACCCTTGCCTTTTCCATTCATGAGCTGGCAGTGATTCTCGGGGATCAGTTGACAGCAGCCTACCTGGTGCCCATCTTCAGTGGGTTTTTAAAGGATCTGGATGAAGTGCGTGTAGGAGTCCTTAAACACCTGTATGACTTCCTAAAGGTGGGAGAGCTGAAATCACCTAGGCCTTCCCCAGTCTGCCACTGAGCATGGGCTAGCGGCTTGGTGGCAGTGAAAGATAGCCACACTCTGCAGTTGAAATGCACCCAGAATCTAAAATGGACATTCATACCTCTGCTGCTGCTTGGACCCAGTAGGGCTGTGCTTCTTATGAAGGGTTCTTGATGGCAAAGTCCAAGGTCCCCAGGGGTGAACTGGCTTACCCAGAGGTCACCTGTGGAAAGAGGTTAGGCCCAAATGAAACCATAGCTCTGCACATAGGAAGACCTTTCCTGCAAGTCACTGCACTGCTTCTGCTCCTGCCTTTTCGTTCCCCTAGGGAAGTGATGGGTATAAAAAACAAGAGCTTAGAAGTTACTTAAAGAAACTCATTTGTCACTCTAGGGACTTTGGTGGTCACTGACCCCATTCAGACCCTGCCTTTCATTGCTGATGAGGAGTTTCTGCCCCAGAGGCAGCAGAGCCATCATCCACTGAACACAAAGACACTCCTCCTCCTCCGGTGGGTGGGGAAGCCCAGGGGTTTCAGGGACATGGACCCACCCCCAGAGGAAAGGCAGCAGTTGTCCGGGGTGTGGGGGGTGTGCTTCACTGGCTGTCAGCCACACCGAGTCCTAGGTGGCTAGGTATGAGGGAGACACACAGGCTTTTGACTGGTGACAAACTTATAGCCTGCAGAGAAACAAAGGGAGTGCTGGAGTCACCTTGAGGCTGGCATGTCACTTATGGAGCTGTATTTTCAACAGCTGCTCCACGAGGACAGGAGGAGAGAGCACCTCCGCCAGCTGCAGGAGTTTGTAGTGACGGACAGCAGCAGGAACTGGAGGTTCCGATACGAGCTAGCAGAGTGAGTGAAAATGGGGCCCTGGGAGACAAGCTGGGACGTTGCCTCCTTCCCTCGTTGTAGCTGACATCTGAAGCAGCAGCACAGTGATCCTTTGGATAAAGAGAGTATGTTTTTGTTAAGGTATAAATGGGATTCCAAAGCTCTGAGTTATATATGTCCTGTGTCTCTGGGGTGACATCCATTTCACATGAAGACAGGGCTAGAGTCACTCTGGAATTGGAGTGTTCTGCGGTTCTATAAGACAATTTATTTGAACCAAATAAAAAATGAATCACCCACTCTTCAATGTTTTCCTTTGAATCGGAGTGGTTTTGCAAAGCCTTCTTGAGCATTCTGTGTACTGCCTTCTCTGTAGGACTCATGGTGCCTCCTGCACTTGAATAGCCAAAGAATACTGGGCAGCACTGAGGTCTGAAAAGGTCTCCTCTGGATGAGACAGCTATTAAATAAAAGTACCCGCCCATGAGGCTTGCTGCTGTACCATGCCTACGTGGAGCACTCTTCAGTTCCTGTCTGCTGTCAATACAAAGAATGTTCTAGGCTTTACTCATAATGAAGGAGAATGTAGTTCACTGCCCCCTTCTCTAAATGGAGAATGTACTTTAGTGATGGGAGATTGTTTGTGGGTGCTTGTTTGGGCTTTTGTTGAGGGCCATTTAGTATCTTTAGTTTTCATTTTCATTATTCACAACTAGTCATCTCTCAAATAATTATCTTTCTGAAGAAATCCATCTGGCATTTTCAGCTATTCAGGATATGATTTGGCCGGTGCCAGGGGCAAACTGGAAGATTTTCTTTTTGCTGTGAGCTTTAATCATTATGCTTAATTTGAGAGATTGAGGTTTAGTCATTATGTCATGTTCTCAGCACACTCAAAAGAATTGAGAAAAACAAGCCTGGGCCCGGCGCAGCGGCCGTGCTCCCCCTGGCGGCAGGAGCCGGCTTGGGCCTTGGCGGCCTGGCCCTATCTCTGATCACTGTGCTTATTGCAGCACCAGGCCGCGATAAGGACTGTGCGGGCGGCGATATTGGCCTCATCCCTCCTCCCCTGCTGCAAACGGCGGGGAGCAATATGAAACAGCCCCGCCGCTGCCCGCTTCCTCCCCGCCCTTTTTCATTTCCTCTGCCTCCGTGCAAATCACAGCTCCCTCCGCCTGAGCCGAGCGGGGGCCCTCAGGCCGCGGTGAGCGAGACAGAAAGAACAAGGAAAAATGAGCTATCGAAAAAGCGAGGGAGAAAGACCTGGCTAGAAAGAACGAGTGAAAAAGCCTAACGAGGAAAAGCAAAGGAAGAAGACCTAGCTAGAAAAGAGCGAGGGGAAAAATACCTAGCGAGAAAGAGCGAGGGAAAAAGGCCTAGTGAGAAAGGGCATGGGAATAATACCCAGCGAGAAAGGGCGTGGGAATAATACCTAATGGGAAAGAGCAAGGGGGAAAGACCTAGCAAGAAAGAACGAGGGAAAAATACCCAGCGAGAAAGTGCAAAGGAATAATTGTACCTAGCGAGAAGGAGGGGTGGGGGCGACCTAGCGAGAAAAGAGCAAGGGAAAAAAAAAATACCTGGCGAGAAAGAGAACGGGAAAAAGACCTAGCGAGAAGGAGCAAGGGGGAAAAGACCTAGCGAGCAAAGAGCAAGGGGGGAAAAAGCTAGCGAGAAAGAACAAGGAAAAAATAGCTAGCGGGAAAGAACGAGGAGAAAAGCCCTAGTGAGAAGGAGCAAGGGGGGATAAAAAACTAATGAGAACGGCGGGGTGGAGGGTGGGGGGTGGGGTGAGTGTCTAGAGAAAAAGAGCAAGGGAAAAGAGCTAACAAAAAAGCGAGGGGGGCTGGAGAGTGAAGGGAAGACCTATCCAGAGAGCGAGAGTGAAAGGGCAGCCAGAAGACTGGGGCAGAGGGGGAGCACGAGGAAGTGAGCGGTAAAAAGTGAATGATTTGAAAAGAGTGGGCAAAAACGAACTAGGGAAAGCGGCTGAGAAAGAAGAGCAAGGGAGAAAGACCAATGTTGAAAGCAAAGGAAAGAGCGAGCAAAAAAAGAAAGAAAGAAAGAAATGGAGGCGAAAGAACACAGGAAGAAGAGCGAGGACGCCATCCGTCGCTCTGCTCCTCGCTCCCGCTGACCCATAGTGGCCTGGGAAGTGCAGGCCCCGGCTGCTTTTACATTGTGTGTTGTAGGGTAGAGCTTTGTGTGCCTTTCAACCATAGCCCGATGCTGGAACCTCAGTACCCACACCATGAACGCCCAAACCTGTTTTACAAAGCATTCTGTGCCAGCGGCTTCAGCAAGCCCGCTGCTCTGGCTATTGCTGCGCCCGCGCGGCCGCCGAAGGAAAGGAGCGGGAATCGTCTAGTAACTAATGGTAGGGGTCCCCCTGCTTGTGATTGTAGGCAGCTGATCCTCATCTTGGAACTCTACAGCGCCAGCGACGTTCATGGTTACCTGAGGCACATCGCCCTGAAGTTATGTGCAGACAAAGTTTCTCAAGTGCGCTGGATTTCCTTCAAGCTAGTAAGGAGCCTGCCTTCTCATAGCACATTCTTGTAAACAGCACACTCTTTTCTGTTTCCCATTTTAACACTATTTTTTTTTTCTGGGATGTTTGTCATTTTCTCTATAAGTCCAGCTTTTAATTTTTGAAGTTAGAAGCTGTATTGTTTTATCAATTTTCAGGATACCCTTCTGTTAATTTTATGCTTCCATGATGGTAAATGTGCAGAAATCATTTTGTATTTGAAACTCTTTAAATAATAGCTTAGGGTTTTATTGTTGTTTGTGTGTGTGTGTTTGTTGTTATTGTTGAATTCTATACAGCTTTGTAGAATAATTCATAACGAGGAGGACCTTGGTTAGAAAAGATGACCCTGTTCTGCATGTATAGCCTCCAGCCCCCTGAGAGAAAGACAGTCTTACTTGAAAATAATGATTTTTAAATTCCTTGATGGGATTAAAATTTTATAAAAGTACCATATCCTCAAAGGTAATAGTTTACACATTTCACAAGATGATGTGTTTTAAGAATTGGATCCTTCTCCTTGATGTATTTGTCTGTTAATCCCCTTATCTATTTACATTGTCCTTGCAGAGTTCTGTGTGCATGTATGTATTATGACTTACTTAAACATGTGTGTGTTCCAGTGAGAACTGAGCTACTTTCTCTTGCTGGTAAATCAATTGGAAAGGTGGACAAGAACATGAGAATGGCGGCCCCCTCCCCACTCTCTACCCCCACCCCCTGCCGTGCAGAGTGCTGCTCAGAGTCAGCTCTGCTGGGCCTCGCCTCAGGGCTGGCTCTCTCCCTTTGCTGCAGGTGGTGGCCATGCTGCGGAAGTTCTCCTCCCACGGCGCGGGCGCTCTGGGGCTCAGTCTCATCCAGGAGCTCATCTCCAGGTTCCGGCACTGCCCGAAGTGGGTGGGGAGGCAGGCTTTTGTCTGCATCTGTCAGGTCAGCACAGCCACAGCTTCCTGTCCCTGGCTCCTCACCTGAGAGGAGACTGGACAGCTGGGAGGTATAATGTCTTGTCCAGTCACATCCCACACATGTTGATACCTGCTGTGTACTGGGTATCGTGGAGATGAGATCACTGAAGAGCCAGCCAGCTCTCCCTCCAGACCCAGCCCACTCCTGTCACACTCCAGGGGAAGGGTGCAGAAAACCCCTTTTCATGCCCCAGGCTTACAATTTATGTCCCCTTGTCTCCTCAACAACCCCCTCCCCATGACTGAAGTTCACCTTGAATGTCAGCCATTTTGGTACATCAGGCTCTCCAGTAAGACCTTGTGGTATGGAACCCAATGGAACACGGTAGAACATGATGGCACATTTGTTTACCTTTAAGGTTAATTGTTTTAGGTTAAACATAAACCCCAGAGAAGTCAAGTGACCTAGGCAGAATCCCACTAAAGTGGAAAACTGTGGTTTTTGGTTTGAGGATTTTGATAATGGTGTGATGTTTAGGGTAATGATCATGCTGTCTTCTGGCACCACAAATGCAAAGGGGTTGGTGCGCCATCTCCAGGATGCTTGCCTAGCTGTGCTTGCAGTCAGCTTTGATGGGGCCCTGTCTGCCTCAACCGTAGTCCCTTGACCCTGCCTCCAAAACAACTGCAGTGAGAAGACTCACCAGCGCCCCCTGTTGGTCTAGAGGAACATAGCCAGTATTTTTCCACAGTGCAGCCATCTGAAGAAAAAAAAATCAGTATTCACATCATTGTGTAGCAAAAGCAGAAATGAAATATTTTTTCTTTTATGTTTTTAATTATTTATCTGGAATGTAGAAAACAATATGATAAACAAGAAATGATACCAATCCATTTTGTTCAAGAAAAACTAACAAGATCTTTTTTAAGAAAAAGATTCTTATTGTTAAAGATTTAGAAAATCAAGAAAAACACAAAACAAGGGAAGGATGTTCAGGAGATAGCGTACCTCAGAGACTTGTTAATTTTGATCTGAACACAGCTCTGGGAAGAAGGTACCAGGGTCACAAGACAAATCTGGATTGAGACCTAGCTGGCCTAGAACCTGTCTCTGAGCTCCCTGCCAGTGGCCTGGGCAACCAAGTCTCAGTGCACAGTAAAGTGTAGCCCTTCTGTGCTGTTCCAGGCTGGCTGGCGTGATGCAGTCCAGCTGCCTACAGCAAGTTTGGCACCCAGAGCCCCTTGATGGCCCTTATACATTGTTGAATGATGCTAGCCTTACCATGAACACCCTCAGGACCCAGAAGCCACACACCTGGCTAAAGTCCCCACTCACTTGTGGGTCCTAAGACTTTCAGTGCCACCACAACAACCACATTGGTGGCTCTCTTACTGAAAAACAAGGCTAGTTTTGCTATCCAGGGTCAGTTGTGAGAAGAAAGGAGGGGCGGACTGCACATACTCTTCTGCTGTGCTCAAGCAGACATGGCCAGCTCTTATAGAGACCTAAGCCCAGGCCATCATCTGGGTTTGTGTGATAGCCAGTCCCTGTCTCAGGGGTGGGGTTCTGAACAAGTTCTTACTGGCCAGGTAAGTCCGGTGTGGCGGTACTGTGTTGGGTGATTGGTACAAAGGGTCAGCCACTGTGCAGTTGAGAAAAGCTAAACAACTTACCTGAGGCCACAAGGCGACCAGGTTAAGTTTTGAGCCTACAGCTGCCTGGCTCCAAAGCCCATGTTTCCCGTCTCAATCCTGCACTCTTGTCAGTCATTCTTTGGAGGTGCGTTAGGAAAATTAGCCACTGGTTATAACTAAATTCAGTTCTTGAAATATAAAAGTTCACATGTGCTCTGCGCTCAAACCTACAGGTTCCAAAGAGATGTCATTAGCGTTATAGAAGTATGTGTGCTTTGAAATCTTGAGAAAGTCACTGCTGGGCTGTGGCTCTCATTTCTGCAGGCTGTGGTCAATGAAGAGTCTGTTCCTGTGGACCAGTTTGTGCAGCACTTGCTTCCCAGCCTCCTGAGTCTGGCATCGGATCCTGTGCCAAATGTGAGGGTTCGGCTGGCCAAGGCCCTGCGGCAGACACTGCTGGAGAAGGGTGTGTGGGCCTTGCTGGCTTCTCAGTTACCCTTAACTGTGGCAGGTAGCAGCTAGGTCCCCAAGGAGTTATAGCAGGCTGCATAGTAACACACTGGAGGCACAAGACAGCTAAAGAGATGAACATAATCACATTTGTTTAACAGGGGCACACCAGATACAAACTATCTGTCACCCAGCTCTCTAGACAGAGCACATTTATCAGCTCCAGTTCCAGTAGTAAAGAAAGCCCAAAGTCTGTCTCAGTGCTACGGCAGTGTGACTCCACTTGAGGACAGCGAATGCAAGCTGTGTGTCTGTGCTGCCTTACTTCTCCACCATAGTGTGGCCTGTGTGTCCACTTCTAGCCTTCTCCCCGTGCTGCTGACCACACATGCCAGTTCTCATGTGCCGCAGAACAAGGTGCATTTAAAGAGTTAATTTTTAAAGCCCGTGTCACTTTTGGCAGCCCACCATTAAAATCTCAGAAATAGTTTTGGAATAAGGCACTTATCATTTGAAAGGACTTAAGTATGTGGATATTCATGGAAAATGTATCCAATGTCTTGACATGCGGCTTAAAAGACAACATAATTAGGATATGTTTTAGAACACAGTTCATGGCACATGTAACTCCAACTTTTCTCTCCTTAGCATATTTTAGAAATGCCGGGAACCATCATCTTGAAGTTGTTGAAGAGACTCTCTTGGCTCTGCAGTCTGACCCGGACCAAGATGTTTCATTTTTTGCTTCCCTAGAATCAAAGATACAGACTGCTATAGACACCACTATACTGGAAAAGTAAAACCACACACAACCTTGTCACGGGTGCACAAGGATGGCTTCAGTGTACATATGTCTTGTCACTTGAAGGGGATCCATTCGTATTGGAGCTTCTGGAGGAGGCCTATTTCAGGTGACAGGACAGCCCTGTGCTTCCTACCCGTGCACTCTTGATCTTTTGCAGCTTAGAAAGGTTGTGGATCTAGGCAGCAATTACTCCCTGGCTTCCGCACCATCAGCTGTGACCAGCAGTTTGTGTTTTAGAAGAGACTGTGTTACTTAACTCCCCCCCCCCCACCATGGTATAATTTGTTCATATCTGTAACCCCAGCACCTAAGAGGCTGGGACAGGAAGATCAAGAGTTCAAGGTCAATCTAAAGAATTCCAGGCCTGCCTATCCGAGGAAACCCTATCCAAGGAAACTAAGCATAAATACAGCTTCCCTTGCCAATAAAGTAATTTAATAGAAGCGTGTATGTTTTCTCTGGGCTTGCTGCCCTAATCCTTTCTGAGAAAACGGAGTTTATGGCATTGTATTTTATCTCCAACTGAAATATTGTATGTATGTAAATAACTTGACAGGAAGAAGATATATGACTGTAACACTAGCCTCCCATCAGTGGACAAACATGTCATGTTGAAGTAGTGTCCTCCTCTGGAACTGTTGCACATGCAGCTCCCTGCAGCTGCTTTGATGACCTTTGAACTGTGTCCTCTGCTGTGGGACTCCCCTAGGGTCATGTATTGTTATAAACCATTGTACTCAGAATATTCCCTTCAGAGAAGGGGAAAATGTGTATTGGTCTTTGAGAGCAGCAAGCCATAGGTTGTTTTAAATAGGGACTCAATCGGGTAGTGGTGGCGCACGCCTTTAATCCCAGCACTTCGGGAGGCAAAAGCAGGTGAGTTCAAGGCTAGCCTGGTCTAGAGTGAGTTCCAGGACAGGCTCCAAAGCTACACAGAGAAATCCTGCCTCGAAAAAGACAACAAGGGGCTGGAGAGATGGCTCAGAGGTTAAGAGCACTGACTGCTCTTCCAGAGGTCCTGAGTTCAATTCCCAGCAACCACAGGGTGGCTCACAGCCATCTGTAATGAGATCTAGTGCCCTCTTCTGGCCAGCAAGCATACAGCCAGACAGAACACTGTATACATAATAAATAAATAAATCTTAAAAAAAAAAGAAGCTAGAACAAATGGGCTAAAGAGTGTTAAAAAAAACAACAAAAAAAATAGGGACTCGGGGGGAGGAGACTGACTGCTGAGATGCATGGATATTGTCTTACACTTTAGACTCAAAAGAAAAAAGAAAAGAAGCAATAATTTTGACCAGCACTTTCTCCAGGGGAAAAGAGGAGTTATGTACTCTTTATGTTGACTTAAGTACACAGAGAACAGAAAGATGCTGTATAGATTAAACAGCTTTCCATTCATTAATAATTCTGTATACTGTAGACATTTGGTTATGGTTCTGTACCTGTTTCTACCCCCCAGCTTTGTTTCTGATTTTAACATGGCAAAGGTGGGAGAGCGACCATGGGACGCAAGAGCTTAAAAAACAAAACAAAACAAAAAACCTATAAACTTATATGTTGAATTTCCTAGTATACAGAATACCTGTGCAGGTCCCCAAATGCCATTGATCTTGTTATTTAAAAAGAAGAATCTACACTGCCAAAGAGAATGGGAAATGTGTAAAGAACTCAGCAAGCACAGACGACGTTTGGGCTGCTTCAGCAGAGTTAATTTATCAAAGTTAGAGGCAAAAGATTCAAAAAACAAATCAAGAACAGTCTAGGTTGTATGCCTACAGCAAATAGACGAACCATACTGCCGGGCTTCTGCAACAAACAAGTTTTTATTGCTTCTGAAGTGAATGAAGATGGCTCCAATAAAATCTGCTGTTCTTTTTGTTGTATTTTTAAGTAAGGAAAATTATTCAGCTGGAATCATGGATTTTCTACAGAGCACAATTTTCTATAAAGAAAAACAAACAAAAAGCCAGGGCGGGGCTGGAAAGATGGCTCAGAGGTTAAGGGCACTGGTGGCTCTTTCAGAGGTCCTGAGTTCAATTCCCAGTAACCACATGGTGGCTCACAACCATCTGTAATGAGATCTGGCACCCCCTTCTGACCTGCAGCTGTACATGCAGACAGAACACTGTATACATAATAAATAAATCTTAAAAAAAAAAAAGAAAAAAACAAAAAGCCAGGGCGGTGGTGGCACACACCTTTAATTCCAGCACTCCCGAAGCAAAGGAAAGCAGATCTCTGTGTTTAAGCTCAGCCTGGTCTACAGAGCTAGTTCCAGGACAGCCAGAGCTACACAGAAACCTGTCTTGAATAAACAAAAATAAAAGAACAAAGACCGGTGTTCTGAGGTAGAATCTGGGCACTGAGTTCCAATTTGAACACTTACTTCAGGTGACAAGGCCAGCCTCTTGTGTAAATTATGGCTCAGTGATAGGTAGAGAGCTTTCCTTGCATGAGTGGAGCCTTGGGATCAGTACCCAGTTCTGCAGGAAAAAGATCCACCCTGGGCGCTATACAAATTAGTTATCTGTTGTTTAGAATGAGCCTCTCTTCGATATAAAAGGATTAAGCCCCCCTCTCTTTGTGTCACTGGCTCACTGTTAAGTCAAAGATGTCATCTTGAACGCCTGCCTCTGTCCCCAGACATGCGTGGGTGGCCTGGACCACTGTGCCTCTCAGCCCACATTTCTAACTGCTGTACCAAATGCATTTTTTCAAGCTCTATTTTATTTTGGCAACAACAGAGTTTTCCAAAGGTATTCTGGCTCCCTGCCCTTTTCCTGGTGCCTCCTTCAACTCCTGAAGACGTTACTTGGGGTCTTGTATTTGAGGTCCCCACCCCCCCCGGTGTGAGCTCTACTTGAAAAGGTTTTAGCGTAGCCTGTCCCATGAAATGTGTTCCATACTTTCCTCCCTCGAGGATGCCGTAGTGTCAGGATGCATGGGTTTGATGCCACTTCCACGTAAGCCTGGGCCACTTCCTTTGTGGTCCAGGTCTGCTTGGGTTACTGTGTTCTGGAAGCAAATGGGGGCAATCCTGGAGCCCACCTTAGAAACGGTGGGCCTAGCGTTTCCGGATGGTTCTCCCTGATCTTGCATTCTGCCTTGGACAGACGGAAGTCGATTCCCCACAGCGCTAGGAGGCTGGCGAGGGCTGCGGCGGGGGGTTGCGTGT